AGCGAGACACATACTTTTTGGAGGCCAGTTCTCCACAGCACCCTGCTAGTATTTCCATTTTTAAGATACAATCTTTATAGAAGGTTTAGATTATAATTTTCTGTAGTTGTGATCTTGCTTCATTCAGCCAACATCTGTCCCTTCTTCAAGCAATGTCTTTGTCTTAAAATTTCTTCTCACTCTTTGTTGAAGTAATGATGCTGTAATATGTACAGTGAACTTACTCTTCAGACAGTAATACAAATGGTGAATTTTCTTTTCTATTATATCAGTATCTCTACCTTACTTTTTTTTTTTAAGTTATACAGCAATATTTTTACTTACTTTTTTTTTTAATTCAGTGAAAAGAATTTTTTACATAAAGTCCTCAGCGATTAAAGAAGTCCCTTTCTTTTGCAAGAAATGACAGTCATACAAATGGTGTTATTTTAGTAAAGGATGATTTCAGTTAGAACTTGGCCTTACGAGGAATCTTTTTATTTCACTTCCCTGAACTTAAGTAGAGTTGCCATATGATTTTGGACTTTGTAGTTCAACTCCATTATTACTTTTAAAGGTTTAGCACTAGCATAAAATTATAAAGGGAAGCCATGAAGAAGGCTATGCTGGCACCAAGCAATTGTTTGTTAATAAGGAACAAATAATAAAATTTAACAGGTTTTGTGCATAGCCATATGTATGGTGGGATAGAAATGGATTTGTGCACTTGTTTTTGATGCATCTGTGCATAGGAGACTTAAAATCTTTCTTGCTTGCATTATATATGCAAAGGTAAGTAGCACAATGTTGTCCCAGAGTTACAGCTTCAGAGCTGTACAAAAGGTCAGATGACAGGAAAGGGTTAAATATTCCTGTTCTTACTACTGGAGAGTGCCATAAAAGTGTCCAAGTTCCTGGTATTGCGGCAGTTTGCCTTTGAAGTCCTCTGACTATTGCAGTAAACAGGATTGGCCAACACCAACTGCTACCAACATGCTGTTTTTTTCCTGAAGAGCACAATTACAGTAGAACACAGAGCAGGCTTTCGCTCCATCATTGTGCCATGAGCTGTTCCCTTCTGCTGTGGCAATAGTAGGTGCTTCCTGATGTGCCCTTTCCTGTAGCCTACCTTCATGTTCAGAGGGGGATTCAGCAGATGTATACCTCTTGCAGAAAATGAGCCTGTATATGAAATGTCCACGTTAGTACATAGGACTACCAAGACAAAGTGCTTAGAGTGATATTATCTCTGGATATACTTGCTTCTCGTGTTATGTTTTTCTGCATTTTCCTGTCCCTCCTACAGTTAATGTTAGCCTCTTCTGCTGGTGAAGGGGTTACAAAACCCCACACCTTTAACAAAGGCAAGGTGCTAACTTTCCCTGAACAGATAGAAGGATCTTGCTCTCTTTTCACAGACCACCTAGTGCTGGTCCTCAACTCTTCCATAGTATTCCCCCTTTCCCTTTGCTCTACATGGTGTTAAGTCAGTATTTTTTAATGTGGATTTTTAAATCTGGAAATTATGATGACCTCTCACCAGACTATATTTTTCTTAGTGTTAAATTTCTGGAAAGGTGCTTCTTTTACTCACAGGGGCCAAATACTGTATATGGAATAACTCCTTTAGAGTGCCTTCCTGGTCACTGAAGCAAAAATTAAATCCATTCCTTTCATTAATTATGATTATTATTTATTTCACATCATTGCAAGTTCTTCACTTTTCTTACTAAAACAGGCAGATTGTCTTCAGTGTGCTTAATGTTTATAGTACTTAGTAATTCTTACCAGCAACAAGAAATGGCAAAAGACTCCAAACTTTAAATAAAAGCTCTCTGTGATTTTTCAGATTTTGCATTCCCTGCCTGCCTACTTTCTATGGCTGCCAGTCCTGAATGGCTCTTTATTTTCATGTTTTTCATTTTTTCTGTCAAATTATAGAAAAGCTATTTATAGCTTCCTATTTACCAATTATTTACCCACTTCACAGTTTTCTACTATGCCTCATTTTCTTCCATTGAACTAATGACTTTCTATGTTTCAACATACAAATGCAGCTATACATATTCCAGCTGTTTGAAAAATCCATTCATCTCAGCCACATTTTGCCTGATGTAACTGTCAAATCTGCATTGGTTGGCTTTTGTTTGTGTCCGTGCTGTGTAGCCCTGGTCTTCTTGACAGAAGCACTGTATTTGTTACTTTTCAGTCAGGAATCACATTAGCAGCTGGGTAGACAAGTTTTCAAACAGCCTGGCTGTAAATACCTCTGCTAGTTCTTTCAGACTTCTTGGGTAAATAGTATCCATACTTCATGTTCTGCCCCCTTGGTTGTGCATGCTGAAGCTCTTTCCGTTTTTGCTTCCAGTGAAAGTGATAATTCCCATTATCACAGCACCGATCTGGATCTGTGTAGCTATCATCATTGCCGTTGAGATTAGAGGCACACGTGTTTGTTCAGTTCTGGCCTTGATGTAATTTCCCACTTAGAGCACTGTACCCTTACTGAAATCCAGTTTAGGGGACTGAAACTGCTAGCTGACTGTGAGCAGTAACTAAGGAAGTTGCCTTCTTGAAAGTGCTTTTGTCACTTAATAGATACTCCTTTATTCATACAATTTTATTTTTTTTGTGGGCCGTGTGCCCAGAGTTTCATCTTTTTCTTCCCCTTCACTGTTTCAGTTAGTAAATTAAATAATAATATAATAAATAATGCTTCTTCCCAAAAATCTTTGCTCTTTCATTTCTCTGTAGTCTGCTATCATTTTGGGGAATCTCTTTTTTTCCCAGCTAACAAATAAAGACTTCAATTCAGGGGTTTGAGTTGGTTTGCCATGTCATCCATCATTCTAGTATTTGCTTCGTGTTTTTCTTGACCAGACTATTTATGTTGACTGCAGAAACCCATCAGGGGTTTGAGGCTCTGTTAACAGAGGAAGTTTTTTGGGAAGAAATAGCTAGGAACCCTCATGCCTGAAGTATTTCTAAAATCTTTCTGAAACACTGGTATTTGTTTACTTTTCAGATCCCCCTTTCCCAGATGTAAAATTTGTTGCAGTCAAAGGTTCTGCACCTTTGCTCAGACTCCGGAAAGCAGAAGATCGAAATGGACCCATCAGGTTTGTCTCTCTGCACTCTTCAGTCTTTCAACATTTTGCAGACTTACGTTATTTAGATATTGGAACTTTTTATGGCAGTTAGATTATTTTTTTAGCAATGGGAGAAAACTGAAGCTGTAACTCCCAGTTTCTCCTCCCTTAGTGGAGTAATACTTGGCTTCAGACTCTTCCCTGCTTTCTGGAACAAAATTCTGTTTTTGATAATTTTGAGATTTCACTGTTGGGTTTGGCTTGTTTTTTTCCTTTATCCGCAGTGAAGTCACAGTAAATTTTTATTGATGGTTCCAAATACAGCATTACCCATGTGATTTTTCTTTTCCAATAAACTCGTGCAGCTAGTTGTTTTTTTTTCTAGGAGCCTGAGGAAATGGTAAACAGTTTCTCTATTTATGCAAGTTCTGAAGTAGTGTTTACATACTAGTGTATTATTACCAAATATATTTCTAGAGAAAAAGGATTTACAGGTTACTAAGTGCTGTTTAGGACAGAAGAAAAAAGTAATTGTAATTCAACATTACAAAGCAGAAAAGATTTGAAAGCTCAATGTTTCAACAAGTGAGTAGTGTAACAGCCTTAATAATTAGTTTTCCTATGGTTGGATACCATAGACTAAGCACTGTTTTGAGAGATCTGAAGACAGATCTGATTAATTTTTTTACAAATGGTACCAGTCCTCTCCTTCTTTAAACAGAAAAAATCTTGTTTCTGGGAAATTAAGGATCATTTTTGGAAGCAAATGATGTATTGTTTCATAGGTGAACTGAAGTGTTAGAGTGGCAAGAGGGAGCCTGCAGTAACTCAGTTGTATGCTCTTCTGAATAATAAACATGTCAAGTTAATGTGTTTGTGATGAGAAAAACTAGGTTTTGCAGTGCATGCAAGTGCTTTTGGTTCAAAGCACAATGGAACACACACAGATATTTGACTATAAAAAGTGTTCCTACCAGAAGTGTTCCTGTGCTCTAGGTGATCTTGCTCTGGCAAGGGGGGGTTGGGCTGGATGATCTTTCAAGGTCCTTAGCACTGTTTTGAGAGATCTGAAGACAGATCTGATTAATTTTTTTACAAATGGTACCAGTCCTCTCCTTCTTTAAACAGAAAAAATCTTGTTTCTGGGAAATTAAGGATCATTTTTGGAAGCAAATGATGTATTGTTTCATAGGTGAACTGAAGTGTTAGAGTGGCAAGAGGGAGCCTGCAGTAACTCAGTTGTATGCTCTTCTGAATAATAAACATGTCAAGTTAATGTGTTTGTGATGAGAAAAACTAGGTTTTGCAGTGCATGCAAGTGCTTTTGGTTCAAAGCACAATGGAACACACACAGATATTTGACTATAAAAAGTGTTCCTACCAGAAGTGTTCCTGTGCTCTAGGTGATCTTGCTCTGGCAAGGGGGGGTTGGGCTGGATGATCTTTCAAGGTCCTTTCCAACCCCTAAGATTCTGTGATTCTATGTTTCTGTGATACTGGAGGTTGATACTAAAAAGCAGTTAAGAGGCTACAAATAGTAAAGACAATGTGAATTAATTAATGTTTGATGCTTGCTACATTGAAGTGAGGGCTAATGTTTACTCTTTTTGTTTCACTCTAGTCTTTATCAAGTGATTGTGCTTCCTCTGGGTTTGCAAAACACTTTTATTTGTGACTCCTTTGCTGCTGCAACTTTCTTTAGCAACACCACTGATGTTAAAGGATATGTGGCAGCTGAATTTCAGGCGAAGGATGTTGCTGATAACATGTCAATTGCTCTTGGAGACAGACATTACTACGGGAAGTTTTATAATGCTCCTTTAAAGCTGGGAGAAGAGTATTGTGTTTTTTTGAGAGTAATAAGTGAGTGGAATAAGGTAATGGATGTTTTAAACCTTTTCTTTACACCTGTTGAATGAAATGTTGCTGGGGAAAAAAGAGGAAAATGTTAGCTTTGTGTTAAATGTTTTATGATATTGCAAGATTCTGCTAGTTAACAGAATTAGTTTAAATCTAAAGCTCTATAAATAGCTTTTGTAATTCCTTACAGATATTGGTGTCGTCGTAATGTTGGAGCAACCTTGCATGCCAAAAGACAAACAGGGGAAAAAAGAAATGAAAAGCCAGTGCTGTCCTAAGTAACTGAGGGTGTCTTTATTGGGTCAGAATTCAGTGAAAAAGGTTAGAATAAGACTGTGAAAATATCTCCTCAGCAATGAAAAATTGACCCATTGACCCATCTACTAAAGAAAAAAGACACCTAAACAGTGCCTTGGAGTGCCAACAAAAACAAACAAACAAAAACAACAACAAAAAATACAGTTTTAGGGCTTTGTTTGTACAGCATGAAGCAAGGAGGCAGAATTTTTTGCAAAATGCCAAAAACTGGTCTGTGAGTCACTTGTAAATAATTCTCTACAATTTTGGGAGCCAACATGCAAATCTCAGTAAGTTTGAACAGCTTCTATGAAGAACCATATGTGCCTCAGTCCGAAATGATTGAAGGAAAAGTACATCTAATACCTGTTACTGGTACCTCCTAATCTGTGCAACATATGGCTATGTGGCATCTACTTTAACAAGAGTCTAAGAAGTCGTTATAGCACTGATAGTGGTTTCTGATCCTGATATAAGCCAGTTGTTTGTAACAGTCTTTAAAATGAAATAAAAATTTGAAGGCATTCAGTTCCTAAATAATTTTAACAGCAAAAAATATCCTGGAATTTGGACAATGAACTGTATTTTTTAGAAAAATTTGCTCTATGGAGCAAGATTGTTAATGAGTTTTAGCCTTTTTAAGCACAAAAACCGAGTTCAAGGATGTATTTAGGAGTATTTTTGATGTTTATGCATTTTATGCATTCCCTAACCTTTCTCTTCAATATTTTCTGATACTGGGGAGCATTTCCTACTGCTACTTCTGTTGAGGCTTTTCTTGCACAGAACAGTGCAGATTGCTTATGCATGTCTGTCACCTGTTTGTTAAACTTCCAAGTTTCATGACTCTTTCTCTTTGACATAGAATATTTACTGATGTTTCATCTCTAGCATTTCCAGGTATATTTTCTAGGCCACTGATTTAATGGGGTATTGTAACTGTTATTTGTAGAAGTCACTCTTCACTTCTTTCCATTTAGAATTCATCAGCTCTTTAATACATACTTCCCTGTTTGGTTTTTGCGGCTTGATAAAATACACAAAACTGCACACAACGTTTTTAAGTCATCATTAGGATTGCAAGTACCAAACAACTTTGGTTCCCAGCTCTTTTATTTTTTACTTTTTCAAGGTGGAGGATTTAAAACACACATTTTCTGTGTGCAGGACATTCATGTGTTAAAAGGCTGGTCACATGATCTGAGAAGTTTGTTGGGGATGTACCAGGAAAGCAGTTAGGAGCTCAGAGATAATGGAAATGACCATTTTTTACACTGATGGAATATAGAGATGATGGAGGCCACAGGAGTTATCTGGGAACAAATGAGAATTTACTCATCATTATTATTAAAACCTTGCCTAAGTAAAACAAATTGTCCACCCTTGGAAGTGTCCTTCTCCACGAGAGATACTGCTAATTAAATAACTCAGACCCATCTGGTACCTATTTTAATCTCCAGTGATTACTTTAGGGATTCCATACTGTGCAGAGAGCCAAGGCTTCCAGTGAAGGGCAAAAACTAAAAAATGTACTTGGAGTTTAAGCTTATTTGAGATTAATTTATTTAGTAAAGCTTTTGTTCATTGTCACCATCAGTTTTTTTGGATCAAACTGTTCATGTAGCAGAAGAGCAGGACTGTGGAAGTTAGAGAAGACACAGACTTTTCAGGAAAAAAAGCTATGGGCTTCTTGGAAAATTAAAATAATAATGACCACTGCTGTGAGAAAAAGTCTGTTAAAATTAGCATAATTTTAAAATCATATGAGAAAAGTCCATATGCATGACAAACATTTAATCTTTTTGCCAGAATTCCTTTAAGTGTGCAACTGTAGAAGGGATTTCTGGCTCCAGCTTAGCTACTTGTGAATATCCCACTTGAAATACAGACTTTGAGATCCATGGAAATTGAGTGTGTTGAGGAGTAATTTCACTGATACCTTTCTGGAAAGGTACTAATGGGTCAGAGGAAGAGATTTATAATTGGATTTAATATAAAGTACAGATAAGTGAGCTTTGTTGCTGAGATTCCTGAGAGCTGTGTAACATCTCTGATAGGAGATGACTGATTTTCTCATACTGGATTATGTCACAGAGGTAGCTATTTCACAGTGATGGCAGTCACACCAGTACCTCCAGAATCTGGCATTTGGTAGAGTTTTTAAATCCACCTGTGGTTCTTTACCCTTTCTCTCCTGGGAGAGTTATCTTTGTCAGTGTTTTGTATTTTTAAATAACAAGAAAATTCCTTATTAAAGAGGAGTTTTAAGAAAGACTGTGATTCCACAGTTCAGTGTGCAGGCACACAAAAGTAAGATTAAGCATACAACTATGCAGTTATCCCTTTATACAAATGCTTCAAAATGTAGCCTTCAATTTAACAGAAAAATACTGTTGTCCAAAGCAACTCAATACATATTTTGCCAAAACATGAAAAATATATGTGTGTGTATTCTGTGAAAATCCAAGAAAGTCATTTAGGAGGAAAGTACATATGGAAGCACTACATTAATTGACTTCACAATTACACAATAGAACTTGTCTACTGTTGCATTCTGAACTTCCCATGTAGGAGTGTGAAGTACTGGGGAAAAAAGTGTCTTTGCAAGGATTTTACTTACAATTTCTCTGTGGATATAGAGTTAATGCAGAATATTCAGCTTTATCTTAGCATTTCATAAATTCTGAATTCCTACCCAGGCAGCTTCAAAGACCATTCCATGTTAGTTGTGTGCCTAAGTTGTAGAAAGAAAGGAAGAGTGATGAACTAAAAGGCTACAGAGACAGCCTTTCATTAAAGTTCTACCTCTGTCTCTAATCTTATCTTTCTAATCTTTTCAGACAAGAGGCTGCTACCAGGGGAATAACAAACTCCATTCTCAATAGTCATAAAATACAGTATGTTGCAGATGACTGCTCTTTCACACAGTGATAAAAAATTCCTCTCATGAGAAACAGTTATTTTTATGTTTTCATTTTCAGGTGACAACACAGTCTTGTGCTGTTTGGGCACAAATTAAAAGTAAGTAAAATTTTCCTTCAATGAGAAAACAGAAGTTTCCATGGCTTTGCCTGGCAACATAAACTAATAATGGTTGTGGCTATTTCTTCATTTGCCATTAATGGTCAATTGACTTTGAGGGTTGGAGGGTTAGAGGCAGGAAGTTTGCCTCACGTTTCAGTATTCCGTGGATTCAGTAATCCATCCAAAAACTGATTCTGTGTTTTTTCCCTGGTTTTCAATATTACTGTTTTGAATGCATCACATCCAAATCATTACAGCCGTTTTTGTGCCCAAAGTGTTTGAAGCACAGAAAATGTGACATTGCAGAAGCCTGTTTTAAGATTCTATACCAGCTTAAAATAAAATTATTTTTTAAAAAATATTTTTAAAGAACAATTTTTGAAAACCCAAACAAAAAAATGAACATTTACTATCATTTAGAAGCATATTATTTGTTTTTTTAAGTTCAAGAGGTCCTTGTAAAATTAAGTCCTTTTATGAACTTAGAAAAAATGTACTGAAAAATGGAAAATATGGCTAATATTTATACTTTTGTACAGTTTTCTAAAAGTATAATGGCATAGCTTTAAAAATGGGTGAATTTCTTAGCATGGTTTTGTCTTTGTTTTTCTTTTTGTCCATAAAATGTTTCCAGTGAATGAGTTTACTTACAGGAGTTTGGAATCCACTAGACTTCAAGTTTCCCTCTTTCCACTGTGGTAGAATGTGTTCTCTTTACTGATTTCACCATGTTTCAGCAAAAAGCAAGCATTTGCCTCTTGTGATAAAGAAAGTGGCACCACTGTGCTCAACTATAAACTCTAAATTCTGGTTTAGATAACTCAACACAAATTTGAGTTAGAAAGTCTAGAAACATTGGAGAGTAAGACGCTACTTTGGAATGATGGTAAATCATGTGGTACATAGAGTACTTGAGGTACATCTTCTCCACTGTTCACAAAACCCACACCTGACTATTGCTATTACTGATTGTCTGGTGACAATTATGTGTTTATTTCTAGGGCTGCCTTTTGTTGCTTACTCTTGTGACCCAGTTAATTTACTGCCACAATTAGAGTACAGTGTAGGAAGTCTGTGGTTGTGGAGACTCAGCTAATATCAAGGATTCCCTAGGTTTGAAGGTTCTGTTGCTAAAGCTCTATAGGCAAGAGCTGTAAAATAAATTTGGAAAGAGAGAAAACTGTCCTCTCCCAAATTGGTTGTTTCTTAGCTTACAGAGCATCATCAGAGGCTGTCTTATGTGTAGGGGGATTTTGGTTTTGGGATGAGAAGAATAGGCATTGGAAGATGGGAGTAGGACAGGTCAGGCTTTTGGCTTTCTGTTGCAAATCCATTTGCCTTTATTTTTAATGGGCTTCTAGCCAAACACTGCCCTTGACCCAGTGTACTTCTGCAGCTGGAGATGCTGAGAATATTTTTGGGTCACTGAATCCTTTGAGGAGTGTTTCTTAATTCAAGTTGTGTGGAAGGCAGACCTGTAAATTAAGTCTAAACCAAATGAGCTTGTTTCAGATGCTGTCTGGACAAAGCTACACCTTGTATAATAAATTGTTGTCGTAAAAAGTGGCAGAAGGTTGTTAGAAGCACGTTTCCTTCTGTCACAAATAAGTACAAGGAATGTTGAGGGGTTTTCACCAATTATACTCTACAATGTGTAGGGC